GCCAATCTGAATGTAGCTGTGCTCGGTGAGATTCAAGTCAGTAGCCTGGAGGTGGGCATTGGTGATGTTGATGGTACAACCAGTCCGAAGATTACCACAATTACACACCCCAACAAGCTGACAGAGGTGCTCCAAGCTGATCACTTGCAGAAGTAAGTATAGTTAAATATTTATCTACTTCACAAAATTGAAACAAAAAACGGAAACTCAAATTGAAATATCATATTTTTTATTCCACTATTTTTAAAAAAATTATAATCGAAAAATCAATTTATATAACATCATACACTGAGGAAATAATTGTGTTACGATTATTTTCATACCATTTGCCTATTTATTGTAAGCAAACACATATTTTGTCTATATAATCTAAGCGTATAATAGATGTTGTAATGAAGGTATGTATTTTTAGAGTAAGCCTGAAGTTCAGCGTGCGCGATAAGTACAACAACCCGGTGTCAGTGCAGCAGGCCTTCGTGCGCGTCGCCCCCGCCGCCGCCGCGGCACCAGCAGACCTGGAGGCTATCTACGTAGCTGAGCCCAGCGCTAAGACCTACAAGGTCGAGCTGGTCAGTACACTAACCTCTATACATATTAGCATTTAGAATACTTTTAGCCATAGTATAGTTTAATTTTATTGACAAACTAGGTTTTTTCACTTGGTCCGCTTAAAATCTCAGTAAGTGTACTTTCAGATAAGGTTCTACAGCTAGTCAAATGTGTTAGATATATAGCCCGTTTGGCTTTAATTCATTAATCCTTTTACATTTTTAATATTAGTATTGTCTATGTACTTTTTTGTTATCTATACTAATATTATAAAGAGGAAAGACTTGTATTTTTGTATGTATTCGATTTACGTAAAAACTTCGGGCCGATTTCAAAAACTCTTTCACTATAAGAAAGGTAATCTGTGAGAAATATAGGTTAGATTATTTAATTTCACGCGCGCGAAGTCGCGAGCAACAGCTATTATAAATATGTATTTATTGTTATGTTACAGAACGTGGGCGCGATCGCAAAGCATCTGAACCATCAATCGGGCGCGCACTCGCTGACGC